ATAAGTAGCGGCGCGCGCCAGTGTAGTCGGTGCCATTATGCGTTTTGCACAATTCCGATCAGTGAACGTTTGCCCCCTAAGGATTTCACAGTTTCACACTTTTGTGCGTGGAAGAATAGTCGATATGCTGTTTGTTTCCTAAAATGGAAATTTCCCGTTAAAAACTTCATGCGCTAGTACGTGAAATGCAGACGTACGTGAAAGTCGAAGTTGGAACCTTGAGCGGCGAACATTTTTCCAAAATTAGAACTTCCTGGTTCTTTGGCTACCGAGTAACTTTTGCGCCAAAACCTTCACGTGGTAATATTTGGGAACTAAGTCAAAGTTTGTTATGCTTTCGTATAAACAGAAAATATCCTCCTGAAGTTTTCAGCCTCCCAGCTCTTCTCGCCCCCGAGATAACTTTCCTCGCCAGAACTTTCGAGGAACCGTAGGTGGCGGCCGGGAGGCACGCGAAGGCCGAATTTAAACTTCAGGAGTCATACGGAAGCAGGAAACACAGTAGTAAAATTTCAGCCTCCCAGATTCGTGGTTTCCGGGTAATAATTCTTCCCTCAAAACTTTCGCAGACCAAATGTAGTACCCGTGATTATCTTAAGGTTGACATAAATTGTGCGAGGGTCCCATGTGAGTGGGGAACATTCTACTAAAACTTCAGCTTCCTAACTTTTCCTGTTCCCGAGTTGAAACACCTGGACAAAATGCATTCGAAGCACACACACAGGCCCTCGACAATATGTTTTTTGCTACTGCTGCAGCACAAAACTCATGATAAAGCCGAAGTAGACCCATTAGTGGGATAGTAAATCCCTCAAAGGTTTGTTCATTCGTTTCGATAGTAAGCTGGTATAGCATATGCCGGGATGGCACGCCGATCGTAAACTTGTCTTTGCGCAACCCTTGAAAAAGAAAGTCATTGACCGCTTCGCGACAGGATGATTGAATTGAATTGTTGGCAGTTGCTACCACTCGATTTGCATTTCGAGTGCCTTGGCTTTCCTCAGATAGTGATTATGGAAAGGGATTACGATTTTGACTGGGATTAGATCCAAATTTGTTTCCAGCGAACAAGTGATAAAACTCCACTGTTTTATAAAAGCAAGCTGAAATTTATTTTCTACAATAGCTTTTTTATCGAAGTGATAGCTAATTTTTCTACTCCTGGCCGAAATTTGCTCTTCTCTAGTTTTTCACAAAATTTATAAGAAATCTTTTAATACTCATTTCAAGAAATTTTGTAAAAGTACGCCTCCTTTAAAAGGCCTTGGCTATTGTTTTATCAGTTTCAGAAAACTGCACGGCTCTTGCAATGTAATGATTGCAGTTGAAGCATTTTGCGAGATCTTACATCAGTCCGGACATCTCATTACGGCTTACTTCGTTTATCGAGGAGAATATTTCATCAGCGCGCAACGCTGTTTTGATTTACAAATGATCCCTAATTTCTTCATGAATGTCGGCAATTTCCTCAATTTATGCATTGGCATCGATCGACTCTTCGCATTTCTATATCCTTTATTGTAAGTAGAAGTATTGCAGCTCTACAGTCAAAATGAATCACTTATGGCTATTAAAAAACGTGGTCGCTGGCGAAAGCAAAGGGTCAGATGCTGCTGTAATGACAGCAACAATGATGAGGAAATGAAACAGTTGGTCAGAACGGACTACAAGAAAAGTGCAGTGCGATTATGCACGTGCGATTTTCTGCGTAGATCGAACAATGATACTGAAAACCTGGGTTTTTGCGTAGGATACAAGAATCCAGGGTACTCAAGAGGTACACGCATCCATACAAGAGAAAACGCTCGTATGGAAGCTAAATTTGAATTCAAGGATCAGGAAACAACAAAATTACCGCTTTCTGTTCTGCCGATTTCCAAGTTACAGTAATCACATGAATGCTTTTATGCACCCATGCGTGAAATCTAGGCGTTACGCGGAAGCTGACTTTGAGTTCCCAGGGCAGCACATAAATAGGAAAATCTTGAAATTTCAACTTTCTGCCTTTTTTGGTTCCAAAATGGCATAATTCCAATTCGAACTTTTGCCTGGCTATAGTTGGGACTTAGACGTCGTTGAGGTTTGATTTTAAACTTTGGGGCCGCAAGTTGGCTAGAAACACCCCGTTGATGCCTCAGCCTTAATCTTGTCTAATTCTCAAGGCCGGACATTTCTCTCCGAAAAGTTCCTTATATTGGTCTTTCAATTCAGACCTGAGAGGTAGCATGCTAGTAGGAAATATCATATAGAAATTTTAGTTTTAAAGGCTAACAAGTTGAAAGCCCCGGACAAAAATCCTAATGCACACACACAGGCAGAGTTACGCATATCTGTTGCAGCGCAAGTGCATAAAAATTTGCTGTGTGAGCTGTATGGACACAGTCCAGGTAATGACGCATCGAGCTTGTCTGTCCGATCATTCCTTCTTGCTCTAAGTATGAAGCAGTCAAACCGTCAACAGCATGAATGTTTGCTATACTATAGTTCAACACGTATACTCATCTTGGATTTATTTTTTGGGCATTTCTTGTGCGCTAAGGGAAACATGCGTCGACTGAAACAATAGTATTGCATCAGCGGTTGCGTGAAATCTTCATCTCCAGCATGCATGATTACCGTAGCTTATTCGGTGGTCGTCCATCAAAATATGCCAACTGGGCAATTAACAAGATGTTTCGCTTGTGTTTGACACTGCTCCAACACAACAGTATTGAAGTAGAGGATGCAGTCTTTGGCTTGACATTTTGAGGACATTGACGATATTATGGAATATGTGACAACCGACAGCCCTTTGATGGTGCAAGTTTATTTTGTAAAGGTTGGCACAATAAGAGCGATATTATCTGCGAACTTGTACGATTAGGCTTTTCGCCATCAATCTTCAGACCACATTTCTAAACCAGTTTCGGAAATTTCATTTGGAGGCGATCTTGTCTCATTTCCTTCTCGATCGGTATGCTGACTGGAGTAGAAAAAGTATTATGTCTGTCGAGCAGCCTCATTTTATTTAATATTTGACTTGAAATCATGCACTGACTGATAGGGCAGTCCTTATTTTCGAAAATTGCAGTTATGCTAGAAGCAGTAAAATAGTTTATGTACCACTAATGATTATGCCGGCACTGGCTTACAGCACAATTCTCATGCTGATCACTTATTTCGAGAATGATCATCGGTAAGTTTTTTCGTAACTCCATTTAAAGTTGTTGGATGATTAATCTCTTTTATAATGATACCCAATCGCCACCTACAAATCTAGTCTGTTGGATTCCGCTTTCTATTCCGCCCGTCGTCGCAACTTATCAACGTTATCATAAACCCAGGGCAGCACACCAGGCTTACCGGTGCGGTTATGCTTTTTTGCGCTGTTTGCAGATTGTTAACAACAGGAATGGCTCCTACACCGCAGTTAAACACATGAACTTGCTTTGGCCTTTTTCTGCATAGAGGTGGAAAGGGCGTTGATCTGGAGCGGAAGTACTGTGGAGTCGCATGGGCCTTCAGCGTGCATGATTAA